ATGCGTGCGCCTCTCGCTAGCGACCAATTGGGGGATTCATTGATTGGGGCGAGGGCTGCCCAGCCCCATTAGCATTTATATTTGGCAACGTGACTGGGACATGGGCATGGTTGATATCGAATTAGAATTGTTATCGTTAATCGATATGCGATATTTGTGATAGATTACTTGGTCTAAATCATTGTCAGTTTTCAAATGATTTAAGTAGGAGTTTTGCATGGATTGTAAATTGAGTTACTCGTAAGTGCAGCTGCTATCGATTATTATCGATAAGTAGGTAGGGAGCTCAAGACTAGAAGAAAAGTGTGTGAGAGATGTTATATCGGTGCAAAGGAATACGATATTTAGATAAGCGCAAAATCAATCGAAATTGTTATTGATTACTATCGATAAAACGATATCGAATCAGCGAAATAGGCTAGAGTAAAAAGGTAATGAGGCGCTATATAAGCTCTCACAAGCTGAATGAGCTAAGGAATAGTCTTCATAAGAAAGAGCTGGCTCAAAGATAGGGAGTATATGCACAAAGGCTCAGTTGGACCACCCAAAATTAGAGACAAGTCGAAAGGCAAGCTACGAAAAAGAAGCAAGCGAGAGAAACAAAAAAAAAAAAAAAAAAAAAAAGCAACAACAACAGAAACAACAAAATTGTCAACATTCGCAATTGTTGTTTGACCCATGCGACGAATTTTTTTGCAATGTCCAGTGGCCGGCGGCAGCATGAAGCAACAACAACAACAATAGCAGCAACAGCAGCGACTGCAATGTCTATTGAAGCAATACGAAGACGTAGGCTCTATACAAAATGTTGTTGTCGAAACGAGGAGGCGTGGCTGAGGGCGAGGAGGCCAGTGAAGTGGAGAGGGGCTACGATTGGCCACCCACGCGGCCAACGGGGCGTATGAAAAACAATTTTCGAGCAGGCCTGTGCGATGCTGCAGCACCAGCACCAGCACCAGCAGCAGCAGCAGCAACAACAAAAGCGAGCATTGTTGTTGCTGTCGTTGTTATTCGTTGTTGTTGCTGTTGTTGTCTTTCAACATTTTGACTTGTTGTGATTATGGCGGGCGGCCGTCAGCATCGTCAACGTTGTCGTTCGTTGATTTCATAATCTCTTCCGTTTGCCAGTTGTTGCGATGGTTGTTGTTGTTGCTGTTGTTGTTGCTGTTGCTGTTGCTGTGGATTTGTGGGTGACCGCGCACTCTCTAAAAACGTCAATCACTCAATTAAACTTAATTATAATTGCGAAGCGATGATGGCGGGCGGCCAGTTTGTTGAATAAATTCCAAAAAAAACAACAACTACAACAACTACAACAAAAACTAAAATAATAAAAAAATATATAACTATGGCTAAGGGCTTTTGTTGTTGTTGTTGTCGCAATTGCTGTTGTTGTTGCTCGTTGAGATTTTCGAGAAATTCGCAGAAAATTGTAAATGCACGACGCTGAAAGCTGGACAATGATGATGATGATGATGATGATGTGGATAATGATAACGATGATGATGTTGATGATGGCGACGAAGCTGCCGCCACCACCACCACCACCACCACCAGCACCACCATCACCGCCAGCACCACTTTGGTGGCTTCAAAACTTTTGCCTGACTTGTCTGTGCTTCGTATTTTGATTGGCTTGGCCTGAGAAACTGAGCGAGCCGAGCTGTGCAGAGCAGAGTTTACATGTTGTTGTCGCGTTATGCAAAATGCCTCATACCCCCCGCGCACCGCCACGCAGCCACCATGAAGGCGCCCACCCAGAAGACAAAGCGAATGGCCACTGGCCACGACGGATCGTGGCGGAGTGAAGCGAACGATTGCCAGTGGGAGGATCTCTTCTCCTCTCACACTCCCGCTCTCCCTCTCTCTCTCTCTCTCTTATTCTCCTTCTTTCTCTGTGTCTCTTGGCTACTTTCACCTAGACGACAGCTGAAGCATAACCCTTGCGGCTATGCTTTGAGATCACTTCAAACACGCTGACATAAGCTGAGGTGAGAGGGTGGGGAGATGGGATAATGGGAGGATGAGAGGATGAGAGGGCCTCTCTACGCACTTGCACAACAATTGCAATGTCTCAACATTCGCATGACAAGACATGACTCTTTTACGACATAATGAACGCAACGTGTGGGCGTCAACTGCCTCGACCACTGGAGCGACACGCACGGAAAAGCAGAGCAAGAGCGAGCGACTGACGAGGGTATGCGCGACTAGCAGATACCCAACGTAACTTGCAATCGTAGTGCGTGTACATGTGAGAGCTAGTGACCATCTGTTGAAGTTGCAAGAGATGAAGTCGTAGATATTATGGGTATATATGAGAATACATTTTCTAGTAAGTAACTAAATCTCGTCTGAGCTCAGTCGGATCCTCAGATGGATCAAGGCAAAGGTAACCAATGATGTACTCAGACTCTGAACCAGTGTTGAGTAGCACCGGCACACAAATTTTATTGAGTGTGAGTAAGGGGGCAAAAATTGACACACTTGCAGTTCTCTGAGTCTCAGAGATATACTCATCCTAACTACAAAATTCCTGTCAAATTTCATGCCTTTAGCTTCAGTAATCTTTGAGCTATGCTATTGAAATGATGAAGATATCATATACGTATATATCATGTACATATATACATATATACTTAGAACAATTTTAGTAGATATCTATAGATATATAGTACAACATAATACAGTCGAGTCTCAATAATTCGTACCCCGCTAAATCGAAAATCGCTATAAATCGAAAAAATTCTATCCCCTTGCAAGAAATTCATTCTTAATAATTCTCGATAATTTTAATTTCTGTGCAAATCGAAAAAAAACTGCTCCCCTTGCCATTTCCAATTATTGGGATTCAACTGTATATTGGGTAGTATAATTTAACACTGGGCTAGATCAGTGGCTCAACACTAGCCAACATAGGTTCAGATGGGAGAGCACTAGCTCGACTTAGCTCTATATACACACACATACATACTAGCTTGCCATGCCACCCTGTTTACACCCATCTATCGCTGGGTATACTGTAGCAAGCGAACGTGAGGTGTACGCGAGGTGAACAAGGTGGACAACGGACGACCATCGAAGCGCTGCCTTCGACCGTTGTCACATATTTTTACGCTTTTCCGATTTGTGCCAAGAAATTTGCGTTGCTGCTGCGGTTGGACTTGGCCTGTAATTAGGGGGCGGCATTTGTTGTCGGTTGGCCGATTGACAAACTGTTGGCCAATTTGTGGCTGGGTATTTCCAAATTGCAATTACAATTGCAATTGCAATTATCAATTGGCCAAGTCACAAAAGGAAGCCACCTGTAAAATAACTATTCATGTCATATGTAATCGTCGTGGGCAGAAAATTCAAGTTGCACGCTGAAGAAGCTGTAAGAAATACAGTTGAGTGAGCTAAGATTTAAGTGTAGGGTGAGGGAGGGGGAGAGGGAGTGAGAGAGGGGTGAGGGGTAGAGACAGAGAAAAGAGAGACAGATAGGGAGGGGTCGAGACAGAGAAACAGTGGAGAGAGAGAGAGGGAGAGAGAAAAGAAATGAAAGAGAAATTAAAGAGAAATAGAGAGAGAGAGAGCAAAAGAGAGAAGAGAGAGAGGGCAACAGAAAGAAAGGGTAATGTAAGAGCGCAAGAGTGACAGAGAGAGAGTAAAATAGAGAGAGAGAGAGAGAGATATGGCAAAAAGAATGAGAAAATGGGAGAAAGAAAGAGAGAGGGAGGATAAGGGAGTATGAGATGGAGAGACAGAAAGAGAAAAAGAGAGCGAGAAACATAAGTTAAGATGGTCTAGTATTGTGTCTTCTCTACATTGCACTATGGGCAAAAATACCGATAGTGAGGCATTAACTGCAACTTTAAAGATAGAGCCTTGAAATTTTGCACATACGTTGCTAATATTAATACAAAATTTCGGTTTTTTTTTTTTAAGTTTGAGCCACGCCCTCCCCTTGTCCCCATACATGTGATTAATTTACCGATGAATATCGAAACGATTGCAAGCAATTTCATAAATATTATATATTTTAAGTTAATAAACACTATAAATAAATTCAAAAATAAGTAAATAAATAATTTACTACATATATATTCGCGATTCGCAAATCTGAAAGCAAAACATAGGATATGATATTATTCGTAGGATTCATTTTCTAATTGTCACATAATACCTGTTAATTAGTTTCTAATAGTCTTCATTTTCTTCTTCCAATTCGATGCCGTCTAGTTCAGAAGAGATTACATTCTGTTCTTCTTCCTCTTCTTCATTCTCAGATTGATCATCTTTGTTATCTAATGATTGTGAAGCATAAACATCGGGTTCTTCGAGAAGGGCGATAACTTCTCGTGGGAGCATATTTTTCTTGTTGCTATTTTTTCTTTCCTTTAAGTTAAGCGATGAGAGTAGCGGATCTGAAGAATCTAATGCTCTATTGAATACGTCAGTTATAGTATCCAATCGGCTGCATTTTCTGGCATGCGATAATCTGTCTTTTTTATATAATTTATTGCGTGCTTCGGATGCATTTTCTCCTAAAACTCCAACTGGAAGAATACAACTATCCATTATTTGGTGACCGTGCACTAAAACTTTGTGAACTGTTGGAGACATTGGATACCAGGAGTATGTAGATATATACATTTTAAATGTTTCATTACAAAAAGCTTTGAATTTGACAGAGTCCACTTTATGCTCACAAGAGATTGTAATCAAAATAATATAAAAGTTCTTAAGTATTTCAGCATTGAAATTTAAAATGGAAGAAAAAAGTTCGAATTCGGCAAATGCTCTCCTTGCAGTATTGCCGTCATTACTGTTGCCACTTCCATTTTGCTTGGGTTTGTCAACATTTAAACCCATTTCATTCCACATTCGTTTTTGTATATAATTTTTACGTAATGACACCTTTTCTTTGTCAGATCCCTTGACGCGCCATATTTTTACATCAATTCTATAAGATATTCTCAGAACAAACTCCAGAAAACGAATCCACGCGTGTAAAGGGCTTACTCCATATTTAAGATTTTTAGAACTAACATTGAATATACTTGAGTTAAAGTCAGTAGTATTAAGCAATTGTGTTGGCTTAGCACCGCATAGCGGGCATGATTGACATGAATTGGTTTTAGTCAAAACATTCAAGACTTTTCCGTCTATTAGCGTCATGTAGGGCTTATATTCAACAATTACGTTATTTTGCTTGTTAGTATAAATATAGTTTTTAAGATTTTTAATTTGAATATCCAAATTATATTTTTCTTTTAAAATTAGATCTGTGGTTTCTTTAATAAATTGAATTTTCAGCGGTCGGCAGAATCTAACTGATTGCGGAGTATTATTCATCCAAATTATTTGATTTCTAGTATCTATTAATTTCAAAGGAATTATAGTCGTCACAAACAATGATTGGTCTATGCCATCAATATTATCTTGTTCAAATCTCTGTTTATATATACTCTGTCCTGTTGAGCCATCAAAGCCGTAGCTCAAAATTAATGAGCAATGAGTTGGGCCAAAAATTTCTAGTACTTCTTGCTGCATGGAAAGAATCCGATCAACTGTATGATCTAACAAATTTTGTAATGAAACTTCCACTTTGGTTTCAGAATAGGAGATTTCTTTTGGTCTACATTTCAATTTAAGTTCGCTAAGCTCTGAATAGGGAGGATAAATGTCACATCCATGCATTTTATTTAATGTTTTTATGTTGATATATTGTTGTTTGGACAACCCATTTTCCATTAAAAATGCTAATGCCGCCTCAGCAGTTATAGGTACTACTGCAATGGATGATTGCTTATTTTCTGCTTCCCACACATTCTCATTGCTCATAGCTTTTTGTAACAGATAAGTTTTTTCGGTTTCTTTTGATTTTTTTGATGAAATCAAAGCAGCATGTACCAAAAGGGGTGTTGCGTTTTTGCTCTCTTCGGCAAGCTCAGAAGCTAATTTCCTCCTTAATCGGGATCCCGCTTCATTATAGTTTAAGCTCTTCCGACCTCCCATATTATTATTGTTGTCATGACGGTGTATTTTAAACTTAGCACTAGAAGCTAGCCAAAGAGAATGTTTTTGTTTAAATCGATTCATATTTCGATTACATTTTTTCAAATTATATTTCATATACGACGTCAAATTATGGACTTTCTCTTTAATAATGTCAAGTTGCACTTCAGATATATATTCGCTGTTTAAATTTTCCAAAATGTAGTTTCTGACAGCGCTTTCTTGCCTATTGTTGCTGCTCCAAACTTCTAGCAACATTGAATTGCTAATCTCGTATGTATCTGCAACATACGATATTTCATCAAATGGAGCAAAAAGGAGCAAAAACCCTTTATAGCATTTGATTAAGGAATGTTTACTGAATACCTTGCTACTTAAACATTGAACAACAAACTCTAACATTATAAGTTATCTTCCACGAAACACACAAATATTTTTAAGGTTACGGCTGAAAATACAACTAGCAACACATTGGACGATTACACAATAAATCACAAGTAGCACAAAATCTTTTAATACATTCTGTTAAGCATACCTTTAAGAAGATTTTCCATAGTTAAATTGGTTTGTAAATTTTAATTGCAATAGTTTTTTTACGTCGACAGCTGAGAATAATTTGGCGCACTTTTTGCCATTCACCATGCAACCCTGAATCAGCTGACTTTGACGAAGCTTAAAACATTAGGGGAAGTCCCCAAAATTTTATAAAAATTGTTTTTATGTCTATTGGAATATCCTTAATGAGATAAAAAAAAAAAATTGCGGATTCGAGATAAAAAAAAAATTAGGTTTATGCCGCACTATCGGTATTTTTGCCCATAGTGCATTGTACAATAGTTGCTAAGTGTCAATATAATATCATATGAATATCAATCAATGTTATCAGAATGGATCACCATTCACATTCTATGTAAATTTTGAACATGTTCTGTTATTCAAGCTATCGCCCTACAATATTTTCTATACTTTTCTTTAGTTCAGCAAATATTTCTTAAACAATTTTATCTTTCATCATAAAGAAAATCTTGATAATCATCATTAACGTATTTACATTTAATTGCACATATCTCACTCAATTGGAGTAGCACTGTTAATATTGGAAGGATGATGATGATGATGATGGGAAATTAAAGTTTGATGCTTAATTCGATTCTGGACTACCTGGATAATATATTGCCATTCAAGCTGATAAATATGTGGAACTATTATTATGTTTATTATATTATAAAGTAGAATCCTTTTATAACGACTCCGTTTGTAACGTCTGTAGGGTTATAGCGACAAAAATCCGAGTCCCCATACAAACTTTTATGGGCCAACTTATACGATTAAAGCGCCTTCCGAGTATAACGACGGTCTCTTAAGAGACGTCATAACCGAATTCTACTGTATTATCATATAAGTATTATTCCGCATTCGTTTCGAGAAACTTTATTGATAGGTAACACAGATGCGTCAGCCAAACCTCATCAAATCTAACATCATTATTATAGGGCTTAGCTGATGGGAAGAAAAGGGAAGAAGAAGCAGAAGAAGAAGAGCAAGTATCATTGCCTAGCTGTTTGCCTCAATGTCAGATTAGATGTCTGCTGTATATTGGATCAGCTTCTGTTTTTTGTTTTGCTGTTTTCCTTACGGATTGGGAAATTCGCACAGCTGTCTCAGGTCAGAAAACTTTTGTTTGTTATCATGTGCCGCATACATATGTACATTATGGGGGTGTGTATGTGTGTGTGTGTGTGTGTTTGAGTATTCACTGATAGTTTGAACGAATTTGCCCGCCCGCCCGCACTCGAATCAGTCAAGTAGATTTAATTGCAGCTCTCTATCCCTCAATTTCATTTCATCCGATTCATTCCATTTTCCCAATTTTTCTATTTATTTCTTTTTATTTTTTTTTATTTTCATCTTCGCTTTATTTTTATGATTTCGAATTTTCGCTGTGCGTCTGCTAAATGTTCTCAACTTTCATTGATTTCAATTGTTGCATTGCGGAAAAACTATCGATTGCAGTGCGTCGTGCGATTGCCTTTGTCACGACCTTCTAATGCGGGGGTTGGTTAACGGGGCCCACGCTAACAATGGCTCAAAATCGTTTAGGGCCATTAAGTGCGCCTGCCTGAGCTATTGTTGTTGTAGCTCTACTTCTGATTCTATTGAATAGAGCAAACAAGAACTACAACAACAACAGCAACAACAACGGGATCAGCTCACGCCCCGCTTAGCCCGCAGCCGCAGCCGCCTTCATTGACTCTCGCTCTCTGTTGCTCGGCCTATCTACCTGTCTCGCTCTTACACATACAGCTTAGCTGCCAGCTTGGTAATCGATCTTTTGTTATCTGCCGGCAGGTGGCGCTGCTGTTGGCACTGCTGCAGCTCGATCGCTCAATTGGTCGCCCCCACACAGACGCACAGACGCAATCTCCCTGTCTCTGTCTCTGTTTCTGTCTCTGTCTCTCTCTTTATCTATCCTCCTCGCCTCCTCTGCTGTTCCTCTTCAGTTGTTTGGGCACTTTACGCGTAATTGCCGCACATTGTTCTTATTGCAGTTGTTGTTGTTGTTGTTGTTGCTGCTGTCGGCTTGGACCCATTCATCAAAGCCCATCGATTGGCATTGGGTCTGCCATCGACTGCGTCCGCTCCTCTGTCTCTCTTGATAAACAAGACCTATTATTTGTAGGTCATAAATTTTATTGCTCTCAACTGCCGTTGCTGCAATTAAATCTCAATGGGTTTTGCACAGTGAACTTCTCTCTCTCTGTGTGTGTGTGTGTGTGTGTGTGTGGGTTGGGGTGCAGAGGCAGTTGGCGGGGAGGTAGCGGGTGTGGCTGGCACTCGGCAACACTGTCAACCCATCGCAGCCCATCCCTCGGCAAATATTTTGACATTCTGCACAAGCGAAAAACCAATCTAATGAGCCACGTTCGCTGGGCGCGGCCTTTCGCTGCGATCAGCTGATGGTTATCAACAATTGAGTTTGGCTGCTAACTGGGCTTTTAATGGTCGTGCCCGTTGGCCGCCATTAGCCACAGCTATCGATTTATCTAATAGCCTAACTCACTCTCCCATCTCTATATACATATGTATGTACTGTATCGCATAGTGAAGCTGGCCTATTTGCGGTTGATTATCCCAATCAGATAGCGCGTGTGTTAAGCTCGCCTCTCGCCGCCACTTTCCATCGGATAGCTCACTCTGCACTCTAGACCCATTGCCCTAACACTTTTGGCTGGTTCAGAATTGATTTCTAGCCCTAAGCAGGCCACAGCCAGAGTCTAAGATAACTAAAGCATATTCATAAATTTCAATGTAATTCGAACTCTTTTTATGTAAGACCCTTGGCTATTTGATTCAAGAGCAGTAGAGTAGATAGATGGATGATCAATTGTTAGCCCTTATCATAGGGGTATCTATCATATCATAGGCGTATAAGGGATGCCAATCTATCATATATCTATCTACTCCACTTAGAAGCGCTGAGTAGTATTCTCGAAGAGACAAATAGAATAGGTATTCAATATACTCTATGCCACTCAATAATAATTGGTCTATTAGGTCTAAACTCCCTCTCCTTCGAATATGAACTGAAGCATATGGACTCGGCTAATGTTGTGCTCCCCTGACTAAGGAATCGTCCCGAACTTATATAAACCTTCTCGCCGTCTATACCTCAACTCTCTTCAGTCAGAATATTAAAAGTTAATGCGAGCATGTGAACTGTGATCTCTGAGGTTAACTGAACCCAGACAGGGAAAGGATTTCTAGGCAGACTTCCGACTTCTCTCATAATTTAGATGGTATAATCAAAACTCGACAAATGGTCTAGCCAAATGATGTCTGCTCAGCTAGTTAGGGCAGCCACACCCAGTCAGGCAGATGCCATAATCCCTCCTCAAGTGGTGCCATAAAGAGTCAAGCGGATGCATTTTGCACAGAGGCGCCTTCGTCCGGCGCTTGGCTAAACGGGCTACGTGACGCCATCAGGTGGATGTGGCAGGCAGTGGTTGCTGTGCCACAGACCCGCAGCAATTCACAGCAATCAGCAGCAATCGCTTGGACAAAGTCAACCCTTTGATTAAAAGTCAACTCCTGCGGCTGCTGCTGCTGCTGCTGCTGTTGCGGCTGTTGCTGCTGCTGCTGCTGTTGGGGTCGAGTCGCTGTGATTCTATTAGCAATTCCGCTGAAATCGAGTCGCATCTCTAAAACCGTTATGGGCCAGTCAAACAGCGCCACTGAGGGCGACGCTAGTGGTGGTGGAGGTGGTGGTGGCGGTGCTGGTGCCGGTGGTGCGGGACGGTTCCTCGTTGCTGGCATCAAAGGGCAGCGCCACTTGGCAGGCCGTTCCGTGCCGTCAGAGAGTTGCGCGCTTCAGCGAAAACAGTAGCGCCGGCTGCTAACGTCACTTGCGACAAACAACAACAACAAGAGCTACAGCCAAAACAAACAAAATGCAAAAAGTTCAAAGCCTAATGCGAAAAATTCGCAGAAATCTGTCATCGCCTTGTCAACGCGGCATCAACGGCAGCAGGAAGCTGCGTCCAGAGTGTGAGAAAGAGCGGGCGTACCAGACAGGCAAACCGACAGAGTGTGAGAGAGAGAGATAGAGGGAGTGAGGGAGAGATAGGACCGGCACGAGATTCAGTGAGTAGCCCACAAGCCCGTGGCGCAGCCCAACTGCCTCCCAATGCGACCCGCAGCAACAGACCTACACACACACTCACACACACACACACACACACACACTCGCACAACAAATAAACGTTACACACATGCGACTGACAAAAAAGGAGGAAAAAGAAGGGCAACAAAAAAATATGTTTCCATCAAAAATCAGTGGCACGTCGAGCGATCATATCGAAAAACATCTCGCTGCAAATTTCCTGCCAGCGACCACCGATAAGCCACCAAGTGTAGGAGTAGCTGAGCTCAATGGAGTCTGCTGGAGTCGTCTGCGACTTCAACTGGCGTCTATCAAAGTGTTTATACGCTTGCCAAAAAAAAACAAGTAAGAAGGCTCCGGTCGAGACTGCTCGACTAGGAGATACCCTGAACCCTCCAAGCTGATATTCTAATCATTCTGCACCTCTTCTATGCACACATACATACACATGCATCCAGACGCGCGTATAACAACACGCTCTGTTAACTGCGCAGTAAGCAGCGACTGCGCTTGGGCTGCGCTGCAGTGTGAGCAATATTATGAGAATTTATTTGTTAAATATTTTCTTTTGTAGACATACGATCTAAATTAAACTTTCAGAGCGTAATCATATGGTAAAAATGTGTGTACATTCCAGAGCACAAGTCTCTAGTACTTGAAATGCGTTTTTTTACAAATTGGGGGCGTGGTATCCAAAATCTGTAAATTACAAAATCTTTGTATCTATTAATATTATATACAACGCAAATTTGAAGACTCCAGGTCTAAAAGTGTTCAAATTAAGCTGAAAAAACAAAATCAAATTTTCGATTATTCTCGATAAAAAAGTTATCGGATGAGTTATCGAAAAAAAAGCAGACTCGTACTGCGTATGGTATACACGCGTATGCATGCCAAATTTCAGGTCTCTAGTTCTTATAAGTTCTGAGATCGACGCACTCATATGGACGGACGGATGGACGGACAGACGGACAGGGCTATATCGACTCAGCTCGTCGTGCTGATCAAGTGCGATGACTCCTTCTGCCCGTTACATACCTTTTCACAAAACCATTATACCCTGATTTCCCATTTTCAATGGGTTCAGGGTATAAAAAAAAAAGAGAGAAACCAACAACAACAATCGGAACGTGCACATACAGCATCTCAAGCGGATACG